AAATATTATTCAATATTAATATTAAATGTTAATTTTATATTAAATATTTAAATATTTAATATTAATATTAAATATCAATATAAAATATTTATAGGACGTTACTTGGTTGGCCTTTTAATTACATTTTAATTAATTATTATTATCATTATATATTATATAACATAAAATATTATATTATATATAATATTATTATATTATTATTATTATTAATTATGTGGAGCTTTAGATTTAGATGTGTGAAAGTTTAGGAGGTATATTTTTTATTTGTGTTCGTTTTTGTCATTGCCTTTGTTTAAAATAAAAATGCAAAAACGTGACGTCAGTGGAAGCTATGAAAGATGTCACACAAAATGTTGATCCTTTCCTGAGATCACAGGTTTATTTCAGAAGTTTACAGATATTTTCTGCTTCCCGCTCAGGTATTTTTTTATTTTTTTTTACCTTGTCCTGTTTAGCATTATGGAAGCAGAACTGAGATCTGAATACTGTGTTATTATGAGCAAAATTGCTTTGCCAAGGGAGGCTTTGTTAGTGAGAAGCCCCCCCTTAATTACCCAAAACTTCTTTATTTATTCATTTTTTGTTACCAAACTTCCAATAATGTCCAATAATGCCGAACCTGACAGAGGGACAGGGGGGAGGGAAGGGTAGTGGAAAGAAAGGAGAGAGATCCTTTAGAAAGGGAGAGAGGGGGGAGAGAGAAAAAGAAAAGAAAAAAAAGAAAAAGGAGAGAGAAAGACAACAAAACCATATGACCAGCCGTTATGTCTGCAAAAAGGACAAAAAGGACCTTATGGGAAATCCGAGTGGGAAAACCTGTAGGAGCTCACGTATTTTCCTCGTCCTGGGCTCTGTGGGATGTCCAGAAAGTCAAACCCCAGAAAGGAACGTACCAGACGTTGGCTCAAAGACAATCAAGAGTGTGAGCACTAAACTGGCTTGTACTTTACATTTCTTTTTTTGTTTTAACTCTTGTTTCTTATGCATCTGTGTGTTGTCCCCCCCCCTTAATGCTAACACCTTTTAAAAGCCTAACCAGGGACGAAGGCTGCAAATTAGCCCATGGCTACAAGCCTTATGCATTTGGACATCGGCCGCCTGTTTGGTTGCAATGTTTAATTGTACTGTCCCTGTCAGAAAAAAAAAAAAAAAAAAAAAA